AATAATAATATTAAAAATCAAAGCAGTTCCTATTGCCAACAGAATATCTTTCCTTCTGGAAAATGATTAATACAGTCAAGGAGAGTAACCCTGAAAACTCAGCTTATTGCCATCAACAACACTGCACTGAGTCATGGCTTACCCTCCACTGGGTTTCCGAGTCTATAAATAACACGAGAGACTGTCCATATTTCTCCGTCCAATCCCTGGGAGGATCCAAACCACCAGAGGCAGTCTTGGGTTACCAGCACAACTCCCTACAATACTACACCACTGGAGATCAGCACAGTATAAAAGTCAAGTTGTAACTGCTAACTCATAGTGACCCTATGAACAACAGCTCTGAACCTTGCCATACCCAGAGACAATCTCACAGTCGGACATAACCTGCCTCTACTGCCAGAGAGAAGAGCTTAAAATTTATTCCTCTCTTATTTGCCTTCATGCTAAATTAATGACTAAGATATGAAATGGTTCATTTTGCTTAAGACACTTATTTTGTTTCTGAGAATCATTAGAATCCATTAATGATAAATTGTAAATAAGCAAACCTGCTGATTTTCTCCCAGGACTCAATTATTTTTGTGTAGTCCAGCTTGGGTGATGAGCAAGCAATCTTGGAAAGCAGCATCCAGGCAGGTGCAGAGTGTTCCGTGCCAGTGTGAGAGATCAAATTGTTGATAAAAGTAGATGAGAATTTCTCTTTCTTGGACCATATATGAAAAGCCTTGTTTAAATAACGGCTAGTAAAAAAGACAGAAAAATAGAATTCTAAGTATTTAGAGCCGTTCCAATCAGCAACTCTGTGCCAGAATTCTGGCATGTAAAACACATGCAGAGCTACCCAATGGCATCAGATGTCAAGGTAGAAATCTTTTAACTTGGATATAATGAATATGACTTATTTCCTTCCTTATAAAATACTTATTTTAAACAATTAAGAACATTTCATAATTCACTTAAGATGCTTTCCAATCTCATTCCTCTAAAAACATATTCTACAAAAACATATGTGATACACTATCATTGAAAACATTAATCTAATTTATAAGAATATAAACCATCAAATCAGTTCTGTATCACAGTGACTCCCTATGAAAGAGTCTGTGAGGCTACAGGAGGAGACAGTCCATCTTTTCCTCACTGGGCAGCTGGAAGATCTGAACTGTCAACCTTATAGTTAGCAGCCTGATATGAAGCACACTCTCTCTCTCTCTCTCTACACACACACACACACACACACACACCCCACCAGAGCTTTATAGAGTTATAGAATCAGAAATGCGTTGTCCACTTGTCAGTGGTGCGATTATAGAGAACACGGAATTTTCATGCAGTAACACAAAACAATGCTGTGAGGGAGCTCGAGTGGCGCAGTTCTCGGAGCAGTGCTGCCAACTCAAAGGCGGTTCCACCTGGAGGTGTGAGCGCACTGGGAGCCCTGAAGGAGAAGGCAGGCCACCTGCTCACATGCAACTCACAGCTTCCAGCAACCCGACAGAGTCACCCAAGAGTTGGTTTTGTACTCAATGGCAATGACATTTTTGAATAGCCAAAACAATTAGGCGAGAAAAGGCTTCCAAATGGGCAAGAAATAGTACAATGATTTTTATTTGAGGATAACATGATCCTATAAACCCCAAAGATGCAGCACATACATTACTAAATCTAATGACCAATTCAGCAAAAGGGCAGAGCACAAAATTAACATCTAAAAATCAGTGAGCTTCTTTATAGTAGAAGAAAGAACTCTGAAAAGAAGGAAAATAATGTCATTTACAAGAGCCAACCCAAAAAATGAAATGCTTAGAAATAAACCTCACCAGTGATACCAAAGGACTATACAAAGATAACCACAAAAGACTTCTATAAGAATAAAAAAAACCCAACCTATACAGAAAAATACACCATACTCAGAGGTAGGAAGGCTAATAATCATGAAGGTGGAAAGGTTACCAAAAGCTATCTACAGACATAATGCAATCCTTGTTTTACTTTTCAAAAGGAAGGCTGCATAGTGGAGTGGACTTGGGGGGAGAAATTGCGTAAAAATGAAAGAATTTTACTTTTCAAAGAGAAGAAGGAATGAATGAATGGAAATCCAAAGTCTCTGTAAACTTCCATTAATATTAATAATAATAATGATGATAATAATTACAATAATAATAAACAACCAACTGTGTGAGACTTAGGCTAAAATTCACTCTAAAGCAAAGAAGAGATGATCAGGGGGCAAAATATCAGAGCACTAGACATGGACCAAGTGGACCACAAACCAATGTGGACACATTGTGACAAAGGTAACTGAGACTTAACTGAACAATCTGTTCAATACAAATACATTTTATGTTTTTGCAATGTAAATGCATGCCTCCCCTTTTTATTTTTAGATGGTGAACTTCAACCTAGCAATTATTACAACAAATGTTATAATCTAAAGCACAAATACATTTTAGCAATTTTGAAATTGAATTGCGTACAAAACAAGTGAAATTTACATCATACAAACATTCCCTAAGACGGTAGGGACACTTGAGCCTTCCTCATTGACCTCAGGGCCTTTTTATGTAGGTGCTTTTCTGACTCATCAAGGTTGTCTTCAGCTTCACTTTCAGTCTCCTTCTTGGGCTCTGGCTCTGCCTCTGATTCTTCCTGTGCTGATGTTAAAGGAGCAGCAAAGGCTGCAGGAGTGACAGCAGCTGCAGTAGCTGCAGCCATTGCCTTTTCCTTCTTGTGTTTTTTGTGCTTCTTTCCTTCTTTAGACCACCTTCTTGGTCTGAATGCCTTGCTGGTGATGGGCTCGGTGTTGGGCTTTTAGTCTTTTTGACTGGCACAGCTGGTGACCAGTTTGTGGTAGGTGACTGAGACCAGATAGGGGAAGGGGGTACCTGGGGTATTTTAGCTGCTGGCTCATGTGACCCTGAGACAGACCGAGAAGATGAGACTCTCCTTACAGATTGAGAGGCTGCCTCACCAAGCCCTCAGTCTGTAAGGAGAGTCTTTTTTTTTTTTAAGGAATATTCATGTGGTGGGCTGAGGGAAAGGTGAAGGAATTAGGAAAGATCCAATGGAGACCTAAAAAGATGGCTATTAGTAGGCATAGATGAATGGTGATTAATTTTATAAAAGACAGTGTATGGGAATGATCATATGAAACACAACGTAAATGAAGGAATGTTCAAAATACAATATATGTAAGTAAAACAAAATATATATATACAAATTTTGTATGCAAACCAGTACAAAATAAAAAAAGGAAACTTCCCCAAAAGGTAGCACAAGCCAAAACATACTACAAGATGAAGTGTGTGTGTGTGTGTGTGTGTGTGTGTGTGTGTGTGAGACAGAGAGAGAGAGAAGTATACCTTCTCAAGTTCTATTTCATATTATAATGCTCACTGTATACATGGCATACTCAAATAATGCTATGGAATGGGGAGGGGTATCTAAAATGGTGTTATAAATCAAACAGTCAATGAAGCATTTAAAAAATTTAACTTGTAAGAAACAGGAAGTCATCTATCACTATAACTAGTATTGCAAAAACCGAATATTAAAAAGTTCCATCAGTGTTTTTACTACATATTAAGGTATCAGCTTAAAACTGTACAGAATTAGATCAAAGCAAAATAAAGTGATCAAAAGATCTCATAAATGTGCAATTATCACAAAAAAGCTAGAAAACTGGAGATAGAAATTATAGAAAATATTATGGTTTCACATGTAATCCTGAAAGCTGATGTTTTAAAAGATGAACTTATTAGTAAAAAACTGTAGGGCCTTCTCTGTAAGAAAAACAAATCCCATAATCAACATACCTCAGCTCCTGGCTTTCTGTGGTGAGGAGAAGAAGAAGAGCCCAAGCGAGCACCTGGCTGTCATCTCCACTGTGAAATTTATTGTAATGCTTAATGTTCTGCAGCAGGAGCTGGTCCAGGCACTCGAGGGCCTTCTCCTGCACCGTGCTCTCACAGTCCATCACAACAGGGATGATTCCTGTCAGCCAGGCCTTCTGTATCTGGACGCATCTAGGTTGAGCCTTAGGATTTTAAAAATAAAACTAGCAAGTCATAAAGTCTGATACTATTAGAAGTCTAAAGCAAATCTGTGACATTATGGTCACTATTATGAGAGACATATACAGTCATCATTTTTATTATTAGTAGCAAATGAGCTCTTTTATGGAAATGCAAAATAAGAGATATTCCAACGAGAAATCAGAATAAATGATGGGGAAGGTGGGTTAATGTACAATTTAAGGCATCCTATCACAAAATAGTCACATACTCTTAAAATTTTTTAAGAGCTACTTACTTGTGAATTTAAGTGTTAGTAGTTCTACTTTCTTGACAGCATTATGTCTTATTAGATAAGAATTAATCAAGGCTTAGTTAAGCAATTTCATCTTAAAATTGCTTTTTCTACATGAGACTTGAGCTGAAGATAAGAAAAGGCTATGAACCACTAACATTTTCCAGCACTGTTGTTGTTTAATGCCGTCGAGTCGTAAACGACTCATAGCGACCCTATGAACCAACAGCCTGAGCACTGCTTGGGTGGCAGTTATGATCTCTTTGGGGTATATTCCCAGTAGTGGAATTGCTGGGTCAAATGGTATCTCTATGTGCAACTTTTTGAGAAAGTGCCACACCACCTTCCACAGTGGTTGCACCATTTTACACTTCCACCAACAGAGAATAAGGGTTCCAGTTTCTCCACAATCTTGCCAGCATTTGTTGCTTGCTGTTCTGTTATTCTGCTATTCTTACTGGGGTGAGATGATATCTCATAATTGTTTTGATTTGCATCTCTCTTAGAGCTAGGGATTTTGAACATTTAACTAATCACAAGATTAAATATTTGGGAGTAAATCGAACCAGAAGCACAAAGGACCTATTTAAAGAAAATTACAAAACAATACTACTAGAAACAAAAAAAGACTTGGAGAAGTGGAAGAATATCCCTTGCTCATGGATAAGAAGACTCAGTATTGTGAAAATGGCAATACTACCAAAGGCAATTTACATGTTCAATGCAATCCCAATACAAATACCAATCCCATTCTTCAATGAGATGGACAAGGCAATCTCCAGTTTCATTTGGAATAGAAAGAAGCCCCGAATAAGCAAATCACTTCTTAAAAACAGAAAAAAGGTAGGAGGCATCTCACTCTCTGAGTTCAAATCCTACCGCACTGCCATGGTGGTTAAGATAGCATGGTATTGGTACAATGACAGACAAATAGATCAATGGAATAGAACTGAGAACCTGGAAATCAGCCCATCTACCTATGGTCAACTGATTTTTGAAAAGGAGATGAAATCAGGTAAGTGGGTAAATGACAGCCTTTTTAACAAATGATGTTGGCAAAATTGGAAAACTATCTGCAGAAGACTCAAGAAAGATCCACAAATCACTTCATACATAAAAACCAACTCTAAGTGGATCATGGACCTAGGACTAAAACCAAGGACTATAAACTTTATTAAAGAAAAACCTGGAAGGACTCTAGAAGTCCTAATCCACAACATCAAGAGTCTTCCAAGCATTCTGAAAAACCTACAACTAGGAGATGAATGGGACCTTCTAAGAATCAAATCCCCATGCACATCAAAAAACTTCTCCAACAAGGTAAAAAGGGAAGCCACAGACTGGGAAAAAGTATTTGGTAATGACAGATAAGGGACTTATATCACAACAAGATAAACAGTCCAATTGAAAAATGGGCACAGAATATGAACAGACACTTCACCAAAGACATTCAGAGGACCTAATAATTTTTAAATCACCTCTTCCTTCCCCTTATAATGTTCAGTTTTTTTGTGGACTTTGGTAGAGTCTCCTATGGCCAGTGTAACATTTAGCAAGAGGTAATTACTATAATGAGTATTTGTAATATTTACTATCATGCACTAGACACACATGCCTCTTACCATAAGAAGTTCAGTAAGAGATTGCAAGGCCTGCTTCCGCACAGATACTGCAGGGTCCCGACACTGGTCCTGCAGAATTGACAGGTCTTCTTTCATATTTGATACTTCACAGTGCTTCAAAATACTCACTAAAACCTAGAAGACATATATGCAGCATGATGTGATGCCCATGTGTATTATGCGGTCAAGAAAAGAAACTGCAGACTACATTATTTATTCCTCCCTCTTAAGACACCCCATCTTAGAGAATCTGATGAAAGCTAAAGCTTATCTCTGCAGCATATTTGACACACACTATATAAACAACTATTTACTAAACAGTTATGAATGCTAATGAAACTTATCCACCATGGTGCCCAGGCCTTAAGAATCCCTATTTTAAGCAAAAGAAATTAGGAATATATATTTGGGTTTATTAAAAAGACAGTAACCTAGTAAACAAGCTTAAAAATGGACTATTATTTCACTTCACTTATAGAATTACTATATGTAAGAATCACGATCAACTATCAGTTAAATGAAAAGCAAGTTAAGAAATATTTTCTAAAATAATCTTACGCTTTCTAGTTTTTAGTATTACATAAATAAGCAAAGATACATATAACAGATAAAGATAGCCCACACACATATCCCACCCCCCCAAAAAAATCAAGAATAATATCACACCTGGAGTGCAGACTTCCTAACATTGGTCTTTTCGTCCCTGATTCTCTTCCTCAGCATTGCCATGACACACCTTCCTGCAGGTGAGAGATCACCAAAGAATCATGGCAGTATGAGAAAGATGGCACAGCATGCACATTTTATACATAGAGTCAAGGAAATATTCAATGTTCTAGAGTTAAAATCTTCCTAATTACAATGTGAATGAAGGATAGTGTGAAAAACAATTGTATACGAACTTTGTAAGCAAACCAATATAAAATAAAAAATTATTTTTAATTTTAAAAAAACTTCCTAATTAGTTGTTTTTAGTTCTAAGTATCAGGGTATGACACTATATACAAAAAGAAATTACAAAACCCCAATAATTAACAACTAATAATAAAGAAAAAGGCAAGCTAGTATTTTTTTACATATTTTTATATAAAAAAGTAACAAATTTACATTACTAAAAACCTATTTTTAAATCCTGGCTTCTACCTCTGAACATTTTGGTGAATTATGTAGTTCTCACATCTTGTGTAGTTACAAATGAAATATCAAACTTGTAGGGGTCTTTCAAAAATTACACAAGTCCTACAACTTTTTGATCACAGGCCTCTTTATATTATTAAATATGAGAAAAAAAATATGATGAGGATCCCAAAGAGCTTTTATATCTACAAATTAAAATAATAATTTTTGTAATGGAGAATTAGAAAAATATTTTAATTTTAAAATATCAAGACACATTAATCTACTAGATTTCCAAGACCAAAACACACAGTAAAAAGGAATAGCACTGTTTCCTATTTTTGCTAATTCTTTTTTTTTAAATTTTTGCTAATTCTTTAATGCCTAGCTTTATGAAAGAAGCTAGATGTTCAAATCTGCTTCTATGTTCAATCTGTTAGGAATTTACATGCCACAGTCTGTGAAAATTCTCTTTCGCACTTCTGAGGAAATCAAGAGTGCAAAAGGCAAGCAACAGCTCTCTATATATTTATGGAAACAGCTTAACTTCAAGGACACCTTGAAGCAGTTTTATGGATACACAAGGGGCCACATATTACACTTTGAAAAGCACTGAGATTACAAAACAATTAAAACACGAAACAATCTAGATCTTTTAAAAAAGATCAGCAAAATTAATAAATCAAGGTAATTAACCAAGAATATAAAGATCTCAATTACTAAAATCTAGATTTAAAGAAAAAGAATGCTACTACTAATTTTAAAGAGACAAACAGGATTATAAAGAAATACTATGAACAATTTTATGACAGCAAATTACATAATCAAATAGTATGGATAAATTGTACACCTATGAATACACAAACTATCCAAATTAACTAAGAAAGGGTGAATTTAAATAGATCTATAATAAGTTTAGAAACTGAATTAGTTATCTAGCAATAAAAATCTTCTATACCCTATCAAACAACAAAAAAAGGGCACCAGGATAATAGCTTCAGGAAAGAATTCTACTAAATATTAAAACAAAAATTATGACCATATCTTTAGAATCTACTGACAGATGTCTGCAATTCAGTAGCTGTTACCCATCTGAAAGTGACAAATTCTTCTATACCCTCTGATGCAGCTCTTTCTGCGTTGCTGTCTGTGCTCATCATCTCCAAGGATCTAGGAGCCTCATCTGTTTCCCTTTGCAAGGAGAAACCTTAAAAATAA